TGGGAGGTATGGTTTAGTGATGGTGCTCCTTGTTTGTTGTGTGGGTGTCTATTTTTGTCAGTTAGGTTGACGGTTGGACAAGATGATCTTTAAGGTCCCTTCCAACCTAGAAGATTCTGTGATTCTGTGAATCAGAACGAGGTTACTTTTGTACCAGAGGTGATGAAGAGCCCGTGTAAGTGAATTGAGTGTCACCCAATGATCTGAAAATTGCACGTTACTTTTGTACCAGAGGTGATGAAGAGCCAGTGTAAGTGAATGAGTGTCACCAAATGATCTGAAAATTGCATGTGAAATGTGAACACATACCCTGAATTTCTGCTTTCATTGCAGTCCACGCTTGCTTTCGTTGGGTGGAGTGAGCGGTTCCTCCAAAAGCCACCAGTATTGGGAGAGTTTAATGTTAATTGCAAGTCGTTCATGCCGTGCTTAAAAAACACTTCTGTGTCTTTTTTTTTTTTTTTTTTTCACAGTAGACTTGAAACTAAATTGTACACAACAGTTGGGTGAGCTGGGTGAAGTGCTTACAGTGTTTTAACATATTGCTGTTAACGCTCCTATTTTTTTTATAGGGTCTTATTTTATAGGATGTTCATTTCAAATAATTACTGCTGTCATCATTTCCTAGATCCCAGATTGGTTGTAACCTTCAGCCTGAGTACATTTGCCTCCTTTTCCCCCTCTGCTTTCTTCCTGAGCCTGCTTATTGTTGATTAATTTAAATTAGGGGGTTTTTTTTAGTTAGTTTTGAAAACGGTTTTAACAAGATACATATTCATTTATGCAGCTTAGCGGGAGAGAAGAAAACCCCTTGTTTTTATGGATTAGGAAGACGAACATGTTGCATGAATTATCAGTGTGTATAATTGGTCTTAATGAATATTTTAAATAGAGGGCATATCAGATACCGTCTCAGTGTTTTGTCCTACCTTTTTGAAGATGACATTAATGAAGTCATGTTCTTTGCGATGAAAAATAGTTTGAAAGGTTGTGGGTAAATTAGTTTAATGATTCTAAAACTGCATTATTTAAACAGTGAGAAATTAAGAACCTTCACAAAAAACCCCACCAGGCTCCAGAATACCTTTCTTTTTCTCAAATGACTGGCTGGTGTTAGAGGAAAAGGAGTCTGCAGTATCTCATCCAGCCTCATCCAATCTTATCCACCTTCTTGTGGGGTGGTTGTACCCCTGGTCTTAGTTATCACCCTCTTGTTTTATGGTTACGATATAAGTAGTGCTGGAGTGATTCATGATAAAGCATGGTTCTTTGTTTGAAAGCTTTTGCTTTATGTTTTTAAGGTGCTATGAAGCAAATAAGATTTTATTCTTAGTTATTTTAAATATTAAATTAGGTCGCTGATACAATGCCTTTGTTTGCTCCTCTTAAGTGAAGACTTAACAGTCTCCAGCCTGGAGAAGAGAAGGCTCCAGGGAGACCTTAGAGCCCCTTCCAGTCCCTAAAAGGGTTTAGAGGAAAGCTGGGGAGGGACTCCTGATCAGGGAGGGGAACCATAGGATGAGGGGGAATGGTTTTAAACTGAAAGAGGGGAGATTCAGATGATATCTGGGGAAGAACTTCTTTGCTGTGAGGGTGGTGAGACCCTGGCCCAGGTTGCCCAGAAAAGATGTGGCTGCCCCATCCCTGGAGGGGTTCAAGGCCAGGCTGGATGGGCCTTTGGGCAACCTGGTCTGGTGGGAGGTGTCCCTGCCCAGGGCAGGGGGTTTGGAACTAGATGATCTCAAAGGTCTCTTCCAACTATGAATATTCTGTGATTCTGTGATCTTTAAGATCCCTTCCAACCCAAACCATTCTATTACTCTGTGACTTCCAATGTGGAACCACACGTTAACAAAGAATCATAAAATTGTCTAGGTTAGAACGGACCTTTAAGATCATGTAGTCCAACCATTAGCCTAACTCTAATAAAAAACCATCACTAAATCATGCTGCTAAGCACTATGTCTTTTAAATGCCCACAGGGATGGTGCCTCAACCACTTCTCCTGACAGCCCGTTCCAATGCTTCTGAATACATGTGAATATATAATTGTGTACAAGTGAGATAATCATAGAATCATAGAATGGTTTGGGTTGGAAGGGACCTCAAAGATCATCCAACCCCCCTGCCCTGGGCAGGGACACCTCCCACTAGAGCAAGTTGCTCAAGGCCCCATCCAGCCTGGCCTTGAACCCCTCCAGGGATGGGGCAGCCACAACTTCCCTGGGCAACCTGTTCCAGTGTCTCACCACCCTCATGGTAAAAAATTTCTTCCTGAGATCTAATCTGAATCTTTTTTCTTCCAATTTAAAACCGTTTCCCCTTGTCCTATCATTACCCTTCCTGGCAAAGAGTCCCTCCCCAGCTCTTCTATAGGCACCCTTCAGGTATTGAAAGTCCGCTATAAGGTCTCCCTGGAGCCTTCTCTTCTCCAGGCTGAACAATCCCAATGAACTGTAAATGGCTGTATTTGAGTATTACTTAAGCATTGTCCCCCAAGGGATGTGAAAGAGGTGAACTCTTCCATCTCTTGCTTTCTCTTCTCAGACTTGGAAGTCTCCAGGACCAGAGCAGGCAGTTCTGAATTGACTGCCTTATGCCACACATGATGTTTGCTCTGTCTTCAGAGTGGGGTTCTTGTGATATTAAGGCTTTTCTTTTCCTTCTGACACCTTTATTTGTAAGCTGAGGAACCTTTGCTTTGCTGAGTTGTCACCTGGGTTGTTTTCAAAGCACACGTGCATATCTCTTCTGCGCAAAAAAGAGTTGTTGGAGCTCTGAAAGGAGGTGAACTCTGTGCTCCAAATCTGGTTTTGAACTTTTTTTCCGAGATGAGGAGATTACAGAATGAAAACCTGCAAAAGCAGAGAGGTCACATCTCCTGCAATCCCGGCTTCGCCGAGGCTGGTGCCTGCAGAAGTTATTAAGGTCATTTGTGAGAAGTCTGTGTTGGTGATTTTTGAGCGCGGGGATGGAAATGGAGCTTTGAGAAAAAAAAGAAGGTCTGGAAAGGCCTAACGTTGTGGAAATTACAGAATAATAGGCTGCTTATTTGTTGCTAAACTTGTTCTGATTTCAGGGAAAGGTACACGGTGCCGGGGTACGGGCTGCTCGGCAGGGAAAAGGTTGGAATGGGAGGTGAGATGGGAGTGGAGCACACGGAGCTCAGCAAAAGTCATGTCCGTAGGAAGGAGCGTGCGATGGGAGTCTGTCACCTGTGACAAAGAATGCTAATTACATTCTCAGATCATTCTTACATCAAATAAGCCCACTTGAAAAATCCTCGAGTTATGCGTCTGTGGCATTTCTGGCTGTTGCATCATTGAGTGTCAGAGCTCATCTGTATGATTAATTGCCTTTTTGATTACTGAGCTTTTTCAATTAGAAGCTCGGTATTTGTGTTCTTCGGCGCCGCCGAAAAAACAATGCAGACGTTGATAATAAAGGGAGATGACAACAGAACAGATTAGTGTCAGCACAGTGTGCTCCTTATGGAGAAAATTACTCTACATATTCAGCGCCAGATGAAGTCTGTCAATTATAAAATATTTCAGTGACGGAGTGAAGATGCTCAACCTTTTCCGAGGATTAATACAGGACAAAATAACTGTGCACCAGTGACAGCTGTGATACTAAAACATAAACAATTCAATTCTCCGGGGCAATATCTGTTCATAAATTTGGTTTATGTGCTAAAAACCTTTTGATACTTTCCAAAAACCCAGCGATTCCCTTAACAGCTGCCAGTGTTTCTAGGTCAAAGATAGCACATAAGCTATGAGTTATTACATGCTCGGCAGCAGCAAAGCAAAATGAGGTAGTTTAACAAAGGAGTTAAAGAATAACCTTCTCATACTGTATATCTGACTGGGATGTAAAGCTGTTATTTAAGGCTTCAGCATGTAAAGCTTGGAGAAAAATTTATCGGTGTTTTTCATTGTCTGCTGACAAGGGAACAGTGCTTCTTGACTACAGCAGGAAACCCCAGAGATGGAGGTATTCAAGGCATTGACATATGTGTACCCTACATTGTCTTAATTATTTACTGTAACAAGGTGGTATTCATGGTATTTTAAGCCATTTGATTTTTCTTTTTAAATAGCAGAGCAACAAAAAGGAAAACTGCCATCGTGGGCAGGTTGAGCAGCTTTGCTACCTGGAAGAACAATCCCAAGGCCTCTTCCTCTGACATAGTCCCATGTGTGTATCCACACACACACTCACACGCTTCTCTCCTGATGTTCTGTTGAGCTCCTCCATGTCCATCATCCTTCCATTGTGCCGATGGTTTAATTGTCAACTCCAAGCCTTGGTGGCTGTAGAGTTCGTAACCATGGAATCATAGAATGGTTTGGGTTGGAAGGCACCTCAAAGAAAATCCAGTCCCACCCCCC